TTACTAATTAAAGCATGTTTTTGGATAACCGCTTAATGGTTAAATACTGATATTAGCACCTTTTTAATGATTAATAATTAATTACTTAAACAAAAATGTTTAATTAATTCGTTAATTTTAATTACATCACTATTTTGTTATTTTTGAGTACTTTCACTCATCTTTGACTTTTTTTAATTACACGATTAAATAATTATTTGATTAATTTCAATTATCAATCAACAAGCCAAAGTATAGACAAAAATTAAGAACATTTAATAACTGCTTGAATTATTTATTTATTTTATTCTTATCCGAATCTCAAATTTTAAACATTAATTATTACTTTTAAAAAATTTTAAAAAGAAAGGACTGAAATGTGCAAAGTTAATGAATTAAATTTATTTCAATGAAAGCTTTTATCTTTATTTTAGTTCACTCAAAAATGAACTAAAATGTTAGTTTTATTTTTAACCAAAATGTTTTCTTTTCCATATTCAATATTATTAAAAAAGATAAAAATATAGTATTTATTGTACCTGAAAGCTCTTACTTTTAATAACGTTTTATGTATAATGAATTTAAATTTTGATTCGAAAGTTTGAAATATTTATGTATCTATTTATTTTCCCTTTTAATTAATACTCAAACAATTTAACATTAATTATTGGCAAATCTAAGCTAAATAAATATGTGTAATGTATTAAAGTGTACTTAATCAAAAGTTTTTTTATTGTATGTTCATGAATTCATTTTATTTTTTGACTTCCAAAGTAGTGGTTTTGGTCCATAATTGGACTAGGATTTTTCTGTCTGTTTTCAACTAGTATGAGACTGGTATACTTCTGACCAAATTCTGACAATTGCCATCTTGTAGGACATCCCCATGCTAAAAATACCAGGTGATTGCATGGAAAAAATAGTTGGCCGACTAGTTGGGCATGCGTTTCATACTAGTTGTGAGGTAGTTTACAACTAGTACATTTGACTACAGGGTACACAAAAATGCATATACAAATGTAAGAGCTAACAGAAATGGCAGTTGCTCCTTGTGGCAACATAAACGACTCTACAGACATAATTCCGTACATTATTTCTCCATGAACTGTGCATACATATTTGTTTTTTTTTAACATAAGAATCAACATTAACGTTAACATTAGCACGTATGTATGTATACATAACCCTTGCTTTGCGCTGTATTCCGTACGAATTAACAGCAGAGGGCGATCTCAGCGCTGTTATGTGGGCATGTATGTTAGATTCATAGGATTTTTAAAGTCCTGCAGCTCCATTTTTAGGGAAGTATTTAAACTTTTTTTTGCCTAAGACAATGAGAAGCCCATCCAGATCCTATAACCGAAATTTCAAGAAAATCGGTGCAGCCGATCTCGAGCTTTGCGAACAGAAAAAAAACGGCTTTCAAAATATATATTAGTATAGATTGTCCAGAATACTAGTAAGATAATTGCACCGATAAGTTGAAATTACGTTTTCGAGACATTTCAAAACCGAAAAAGCGACAATTTAATTATTTCAATTTTTTTAAAACTTTTGTTTGGTATTCGTGTGATCAGTGTTGCCAGAACTTTTTGGGCCAGCCGGCTAAATTCGCCAAAAAAACGGCTGAAAGCGGCTAAAATTTGTCAGCTAAAATTAACATGTTTTATTTGAATAAAGTTTAAAGATTAATAAATCCATTAAATTATTTTTAGTTAACAACTGTAACTGTCGTTATACCTGATTAATTAAAGCTCTACCTCAGAAGTCATTTTTGTATTACTTACATAAATATAAACAATAGATCAATTACAAACTTATGACTTTTTTCTATTGAAAAATTTTGCCTTCTTAGGTATGTATATTGTAACATTTGTACTAGGTTACTTCTCGTCCTGCAGATTGGCTATATTAGTAGAAAGTATTGCACTTTTGCTTATTTGGAGGGAAATGCTTTAAGAAATGACCACGTAAAGCTGAGGAAAATAGGGCGACATTATTTCGAGAAAAAAGCCAGTCACTTTTTAAGTTTATAACAATTTAATTATATAATTTTAACGTATGCGGAATGAAATACGAACGGATGCAGTAAAAAGAAACAGCTATACGTTAGGATGCGACAAATATAGTTTTCCCACTCACATAGATATTGTCAAAATTTCCAAGAAACATTTTTATAGAAAAGACTTATGTCCTTAACGGTTGGCCTGTTTAAGCTTTCAAGCATAATGCGTCTTTTTCAAAAATATTATTTTGGGACTTTATTGTTCCAATTTGAGTTATTATTGTTTTAGCCATTTAGACGATAATTAGTTCAGTTATATTTAGGTGTCCTTTTATGGGTCCCCAATGAAAAATATTTCCCTAATCCGTTGTACAAAACAGAAATGAATGTAGTGCAAACAAATTTTGGGAAAGCGTTCATAGCCGCTTTTAATTTTCCTTTTCAACGTTTAAAAAATCTTGGGTAGAGTGGTTTGCACATATTTCACTATATCCCTGGCTCTTGCACAGTGTTTTATCGCTTACTTTGCACTTTATTGTCATTATACGCTGTGATTTTGCAGAGAGATCAAGCAACTTATGATTCTTGTTACAGTCTCATTTCGCTGCTATGTGAAACATGTTTTCTCACACTCGTGGGTTTTCCTTCTAGTGTTTTCCTATGCTTTAAAGCCGACATTTCCGTTGTAAATAAACTTTTTTTTAAGTCTCATACAGAAAAAATTAAAAAGCACGCTACTTTTCGTGACATTGAGTTTCGGTATACAAAATTTACTAGCAAATTTTCAGTGTTCGTTCTCTTTCAAGGAAATTATTTCAGCATTATAATATACAAAGGGGTAATTTTTAGTGGAGTGCTTGTTAAGATTGCGCACTAGATTTTGGTATACTTAGTTTGGCTCCTGTGTTTACCAGAATTTTTTTCATTCCGCATACGTTATTTTGATGTCCATATATTCGAAGCGTTCCCGTTTTTAAGGACCTGCTCACTCTCTGCACATGCCTGTCAGAGAGCAATAATGAGTCACACTAAATGATGTTAGCACCACGATACAATTATTCATAGATATTGTCTTCCCAGAGGGTTTTGCTTCACATTGAAATTCGCGCTCTTACGTTCTTTAAAATGACCCAAATATAAACTGGCACGCGACATTTTAGCAAGTTTTTGCTATTTTTCTTTACTTTACTTAATGTTTATTATTTTTTATGAAAATATAGCTAATTACTTAACAAACACCATATAAATCCAAATTTCGGACTTTGTGCAAAGATTATGAAACTTGTGCACAATTTCACCAAAATTTTTAACTTTTTAGTCGGCAGCTTTAGAAAAAAATATGGTATGCAGTTTTCAAGTCTATTAAATTGTAGTTTAATGAGGTGCAAATTTGAACTAGCGAGGCCTTACTGCTGATTTTTGGAATTTTTTTAATGACGGTTTTGGCCATACAAACTATGTTCGACAAGTTTTTTATATGTAAAAAATGCGAAACACCGGCAACAAAAAATTGCGAAAAATATGCGGTAAGTGCTAGGTACTTTACATTTTTACTTATTATACTAAGATTTTAAATTTCTAAAGATGCTGATTAAAAAGCTAAAAAATGTTGTGAAAAATTGCAAAATTTTCATAATATTTCCACAAAATATGAAGTTTGGATTTAAATGGTATTTTTTAAGTAATCAGCTAGATTTTCATAAAAAAGAATAAACATTAAATTAACTAAACAAAAAAAAGCCGAAATTTGCTAAAATGTCGCGTTCCAGTTTATATTTGGGTCACTGTATATGCGCTTAAAATAAAAATCATTGAAATCGGCCCAGTATTTGAAGACTTCTCGGATTAGAAATTTGAATTGTATATATGTAACACAGTTCGACATGAAAAATTTCTCCGAGATACCCATTTCTAATAGATTTTGGGCCACTAAATTTGTAAAAATGGAAACTTATATATACAAATTTTAAGAAAATATTGCAAATAGCAAAATCGGATAAAAGTGGCTAATTTTTTTTGGATAGCGGCTAACAAATCGGTTGCCGGCTAAACTGAATTTTCTCCGGCTGTTTGCTTTCACAACCGGCTGAATCTAGCCGGAAAACGGCGCGGTTACTGCGCCAAATAAGAAGAAAGATGCTTTGGCTTGATGCATTTCTGACTAAACCTTAGTCTAGCACAAATAATCCCATAGGTATAGGGTATGAAAAATTCGGTTTGTAGGGAGGGGTCAATCTCACTTCTCCAATAGCGCCCATTTTTCTCAATGAGTATAGAGTTGATTTTATATATATCCATACCGAGTTCCAGTGCTCTACCACAAATACTTTTAGAGATATGCAGTATGAAAAATTCTGTTTATATGAGAGGCCCCATGTCCCCTTGTCTACTCGAGCTAGCCTATCTTTTAAGTTGGGCTAAATAACCCCAATCCAAAATTTCATGACTATCGGTCGAGTTATTAAAGGGTAAAGCGTAACAAACAAACAAACTAACTTTCGCATTTATAATATTAGTAAAGATTAAACAAGGATTAATATGGTATGATTTTAAATCCCTTATTTACTGGTCTGGTTTACGACGTTAAGGTGAAGTCTAACGATGACTAGAACCGAGATATAACGATTTGAAGAGAACATGATTGGTCAGAATCACGAAGAAATCAAAACTTTCGACATATCATATCTCTTAACAAGACAAATTTCTCGAATACGTTTAGCTTATTTCATGTATAGAACCCATAAAAATATATGAAACCTATAGAAAGTGTGACATCAAATTTGGGTCCGATATGAAAAAGAAGCTTGTGTGCTGATGTTATTGACATTAACTCCCTAAAAGTGAATTTATTTGCGTTTTCTTTTCTACAAAAAATGTTGCCTTTATATTGCCCTCTCCTTAATATTTGTGCGTAGAGAGAACTGAGAGAGCAACATTTTCGGTAGAAAATAAAACGCATAATTTCAATGGCATTATTGTACATCACCTAAGAAAGTGTAATATGGACACTGCTCACCTATAATTCCTGTTGGTTGCGGCATAAATAATCGGATTTATGACACTCGACGCCCATGCCATTACTGACGCCATAATGTGAAACCAGGGGTAACTCGTTTTCCTTTCATCATCCACTACGTTCGCCAACATTAATGGCAAGAAACAGCCAAGAAAGCAGCCGAATATGGTAACCATCATTACAGTCAATCTGTTATCCTCGTTCTGTTTTCGAGCAGTCAATACCGACTCATTCGACGAAATTTTATAGTTTCTATGAGTTTCCATTCTTCTTTTTTGTCGTATAACAGTTAAGTAAATACACGAATATGAAACTATTATAACTATGCAGGGCAAGAGAAATCCAATCAAAAACAGAGTTTTTTTGATGGACTTTTCATTCTTCTTCAAAATTGTACATGAAAATGTGGCATCGTCTAGTCCCATTTCTCCCCAAACTCCCAAAATAGGTGGTAGCTGAAAAAAAATATATACTATATAGCAATGTAGTATGTATGTATATTAAAGGACTGCAAAATTCAACATTTTCTGTAAAAATGTCGTTTTCAAAAATTTCATGCATTGCTATGTCATATCAACACAAACAAGGTGTTGTGCCATGTCATTCCATCTCAAACATATTAGTGGTATTCACCAAATTGAGCAAGTGGCCTGGCACTCTGGCAAAAGAGCAGATCAGCTCAAGCAACGACAGTTGTCTGCCCTTTTACCAGACTGCCAGGCCACTTGCTCACTTTGGTGAATACCACTACTGTTTTAGCATGTCATTGCTAGTTAGCTAAACTGTTGTTCGCTGTTGTATTTCTGTAGCATATTTTTAATACTATTTGATCCTGCCTTGTATTAAAATATGTATAGATTTTTTAATTAGACAATTGTTTAATGAATTTTACTATAAAAGGGCTTCCAAAATTTTAAAAATCTCCTCATGTATATACAATATAATTAATAATGCTGACTATGTCGCATGTGTTGACATGCATAGACTTGATGCATGATTTGATTGGAATTTATTCGACAGAGTCTTCATTTGTCTCTGTCAAACATGTATGAGAGACATACTTTGCACTGGCACTCTCATGATGTGGCACATGTCGCTATGTTTTATAGTTCAACATTAGCAGGCCTTCAATGTAAATACATAAGTATGTAGATTTATACTTATGTATTTTTTATGTTTATATTAATTTCAATAAAAATAAAAAAACACAACAGTCATTGAGTAAATTTTTTTTTGTGCCAAACTTAAAACTTTTTTGGCAGGAATAAACTATTAGCTGACTTAAGTCTACAAGTTCACAAAAGTGAAAGCCCAAATACAATAGCGCAGTGGCAGTGACAGTTTTTGCAATCAGCTGTTACTACTAATATGGGCAGTCACTGCCGCAGCAAACACAATACGGCATTGTCAGTGACTGCTTTATTTGACATTCCATTTTTGTTGTTGTGTTTAAGGCTTTGGTGACTCAAACAGAAGTTGGCTGCATTTCATTTATGTCGAATTCAACACGCAAAGTTTGCTGCGACCAAGGCAGCGTCAGTGAATTTAGAATTTGGGCTAAACTGAGCAGTACTGCTAGCTGCCACTGCCGTATTATGTGTTGCTTCATTCGACAGCACACTTTCTAAACAACAGTTGATTTCGAAAGACTGTCACTACCACTGCGCTATTGTATTTCGGTCTTAATTAAAAACTTGTATTAATCAATACACTATTTATTTTTGCTTAACAATGATTTTATTCAACTAAAAATAATGTGGTTTTGTATATTATTACAATATATGTACATTTATCCTAATCAACAGTCTCAAGTAAATTGCAGACTTTCGCCAATTAGATATTTATTTCGTCATATCCAACTATACCATTTGGTCACTAAGGAAATCTTGGTAATTATAACTAAAAATTTTTTTGGTTGTACAAAGAAACAATCGAATGTGTGACTTAAGTAAGTGCCAGAACGAAATTACCTTTGTAAAATTTACAGCAGTCGATATGGCACTTGAGCCGCTTTTAGATTTAGAAGCTGTGAAGCGGTTACGGCCACTTGAGCGCGTGTGTCCTGTTGAGGACAACTCACCGACATGAGGTAGAATCCATCAGAAAAATTAGATTTTCATTAATACGTGGGTTTTTCTTCAGAAAAACTACATACGTCCAAATACTATTTTAATTTTTTTTTTTAAATTTGCCATTTTTCGACACTTCAACAGTTTTTTCTCAAAAACTGGACGTGCTAGAAAAATTTTGTAAATGCACTTCAAATCAGCATCAAAAAATCTATAAGATGAGGCCAAAGTTTGTTGAACCGTGTAATCAATCTCTCTTTTGCTCTTCAAATTTGTCTCCAACTGTCGTCAATGCCCATGCTTTCATTTGTAGTATGCCTACTACCATCGCTTTGATTTCTAAAGCCGCTACCGCTGCTGACATTCGGTCCACCTCTAATTTTGTTGTCGCTTACGTCGTGAGTCAATCTCTGTTGTGCTCTTCACAATCGCCTTCTTCTGTTGTCAATGCTCAAGATTTAATTTCTAATATGCCTACTACGGTTTCTTTGAGTTGATAAACTTTACTTTTCAAAAATAAGGCTTATCCAAAAGTTGTAAAGTGATAACTGATAAGTCGTTGGTGCAATTGGGCCCAGGACCAATATTTTGCGTAAATTACAGTTAGCAAATAGTTTCATCCATCGATTTGTTTGTCACGGCATTTGCCACTCGATGGATTACTCTACATACCGTTAATTTGTGGACCCTATGCATTTGACAGATTCCATGATATTGGCTACCATTAACTAACCAATGTAGAGTCGATAATAATTGCTGTAGCGGACTTAAGCCATTACTACTTATTCTTCTTATTTGGCTCTATAACCGCCGAGGCGAGTTTGGCCGAGTTCAGCAAAGCACGCCAGTCGTTTCTTTTCTGTGCCAACTGACGCCAATTGGAAATACCAAGTGAAGCCAAGTCCTTCTCCACCTGGTCTTTCCATCGCAGTGGGGATCTTCCACTTCCTCTGCTACCACCAGCGGGTTCCGAGTTGAATACTTTCAGATCTGGAGCGTCCGTGTCCATTCGAACGACATGGCCAAGCCAGCGGAGCCGCTGTATTTTAATTCGCTTCACTATGTCCATGCCGTTGTTAAGCTCATACAGCTCAGCGTTCCATCGTCGGCGGTACTCGCCGTCGGCAACGCTAAAGGCCCGTAAATCTTGCGCAAAATCTTTCCCCCGAATACTCCAAGAGCAGCCTCATCGGATGTTGTCATTGTCCATGCTTCTGCGCCATATACCAGCACGGGCATGACGAGTGACTTATAAAGTGTGGTTTTCGTATGTCGAGAGAGGAATTTACTCCTGAATTGCCTACTCAGATCAAAGTAGCACTTGCTGGCAAGAGTGACAGCCTTATTCTACATCACGAACGATTCGTCTGCAGAGGAATGCTTCAAAAATTAGTCCGGCGGCATCATTCTAGCAGGCTCAAACGTAACCGAGACCATTGTAACGTAATATACGAAAAGCAAGACGAAAACGTCCGACACAGTAATAAAATCGCAATGAGAGATATTTTCATCTGTAGACGAATCGTTCGTGTTGCCTATCGTTCATGATATAGAATAAGGCTGTGATTCTGCGTTGGATTTCCATGCTGACATTATTATCAGTGTTAATGCGGGTTCCCAAGTAAACGAAATTCTCTACTTTCTCGAAATTATAAGCATCAACAGTGACGTGGGTGCCAAGAAGCGAATGTGCTGACTGTTTCCTTGATGACAGGAGATACTTCGTCTTGTGTTCGTTTACCACAAGACCCATTCGCTTTGCTTCCTTATCCAACTTGGAAAAGGCAGAACAGACTTCGCGGTTTTTGTTACCAATGATGTCGATTTCATCGGCATAAGCCAGAAATTGCACGCTCTTGTAGTAAATTGTTCCTGAGTGGTTCAGTTTTGCAGCTCTTATTATATTCTCCAACATCAGATTAAAGAAGTCACATGAAATGGAGTCGCCCTGTCTGAAATCCCATTTGGTGGCGAACGGCTCAGAGAGGTCGATGGAGTGCAATAAGGCCCGCGGAAATAACGCCCACGGGCTTTATTTATTAAAAACAAAAAGAGAAATAAAGCCCATGTGCGTTATTTCCATTTCGAAGGGGAAATAGCGCCCTCCAATAAAAGGCAATAAAGCCCGCGGGCTTTATTTCCTTTGCGAAAGAACAATAATGGCCGCGGACTTTATTTCTCAAAGGAAAGGAAATAACACCCGTTTGATTTATTCCATAAAAAAGGAAATAAAGCCTGTGAGTAGTATTTTCTCTGGCTTTATTTTACTGAAACATTCCAATTAAGTTACGGTGACCATCCATCCTGTATTATACGGGTTAGTCCTCTTTTTGGGCCACCTGTCCTGGCAATTTAATAATTTTATACGGGACGCAAAATGTTCTGTATTTTTCCTTACGTCCAGTATTTGTACCGTATTTGGTATTTCTAACTAGAGGAAAAATTCAACATCCCCGGATTTGTCAGCTGATCAGAATGACATGTCAATGAACCAATTGAACACAGATGATATGATACGAGACACTCTCGTTTTGCTTCTGAGAGAGCACCCAAACTCGTTTTATGACTTGGCAGCACAGAAAGTTCAGGGCCGATGAACAGCTACCACTAGTCAAGTTCAAAATCCAGCGCTTTGAATTCGAGGGATTTTTTGTGCATGCATTTATAAAAAACTAGCAAAAATGCAGTGCTTATAAGTAAAAACGCGTTTATTCGTAATTTAAGAATTTTATAATACTAAAAGGCAAAGCAGATATTTATTCACATTTATTGATTTTCGAGCGATTTACTTACTCAAAAAAAAAAAATCACCTAAAATTTCTTAGTAAATACCAAGCATGTTTTTCGTAGCAGTGGCATTATTAGAAGATGTTATAAAAAATGAACCTTTTGACAGCACTCTCACGAGAAAAAGAGTCTCGGATCAAATTATCCGCGTAATTGAAAGCGATGTTGATAAACGCAAGACATTTACTTATCATCGCGTTGTAAGAATAAAATCGATGTAAAAATAAATTTTCATTTATTTATATAAGGAAACGAAATTAATTTTTAGAACTATGCCACCATGCCTCCAAAACGTAGGTGTATTTTCAACGATGAGCTTCAAAAAGAGTTCAAATTCATTAAAGAAACTGGACTGGCTAGTGAAGTTCGTTGTGAAAAGTGCAAATCAGTGTTTTCAATTGCAAACGGGGGGCGGTCTGATATTTCTCAACATCTAAACACGCGAAAACATAAAGATGCCCATGCTGCCGCTGCATCAACCAAAAAATTGAACAAATATTTTTGTACAAAAAACTTTGATGGGGCTACAAAACAGAATGCAGTCAACGAAGGGA